AATTTCGGATCAACGTTGTTTCAATGTCAAATTTCCACGTTGATTCAATGTCAGTTTGCTATCTGGGTATTTTTTTTTTTTTTAAATGGGTGATCGTTTCGCTTGATATGACCCTTATTAATTATCATCTGGAATCATTTAAAGCCCTTTGAACAGTTAGCAGTTTGTACTAAAAGTGTCTTTTTGGACCTTGAACTGTTTGGTTACCAGTAAAGTCCATTAAATGGAGAAAAATGCTGGAATGTTTCTTATCAAAAACCTTAAATTCTTTTCAACTGAGGAAAATACATGGACATCTTGGATGACATGGGGGTGAGTAAATTATAAGCAAAAGTTTTTTCAAAAGTGAACTACTCCAAGTTGAAATGACTTAAATGACATCACAATTGACAAACTGCGAAACTTATTAGAGTTAAGCAATGTAACAGTAACAGCATATGTTGTCATAACTAAATAATGTTTCACAGTGTAGATATTTAGAAAACAAAGTCTCTTCAAACACTTCACACTCTCACTAATTTAGATGACCACTAAAAATATATCAATGAATGTATCAGTCAACACCACCTAACGTCTGATGGCTTATTGCTTTAACAAAAACTCGTATTGTATGAAGGAGGGGAGGAACGGACAGGGAAATTTTCAGGACACCCACGCCGCGGGTCTTTCTGAGCCGTGCTGTCAAAGGGATTACCAGAATGAGCAAAAAGCCTACAATAGGCAGAAGATTATGTACTTTAGCGGCCAGGATTTCATTTTTAATCCACTGTAAATTCGAGGAAAAAACTACGCAAATCAGTGGACGACACTGGTACGTCTTGTGGAGAAGGGGGAGGGGGAAAAGAGCGAGATGGAGAACTCATTAAACGATAATGATAGACTGAAGATCGGGGAGCGTAGCGCACCTGTAAATCTACAATGCTCGTCACCTGTCCGCATTGAACCTGACGAAATGAGTTGAATACTACTACCATTTGGATTCGGATCCCATTCAGACACGCTCCTGCGAAGAGTCGCTGTCGACAGTCGCTAATTATATGCAAATGACTGCTCTAGGGGAAAGATATGTTAGGAGCATACAGTAATTGTGGAGGCTGAGACTGAGAGACTCTGTAAAATAATTGCCGTGGAGGTCAAGGCGATTATCATCTTGCCGAGATGTACTTTTTCTTGTTCCTCAGGTGGGATCTGCTCGGCAGATGTTTGTGAATGTCCTCCTCTTCACCTTTTGCCTCTTTCACAGCGTTTGAGGAGCTGTAGGGTTTGCCATTTATTCTTTTGACTGTTCGTTCTCACAGAACAGGCAATCCGCTCACCAGTGAAAAGTGCTGAGTCTGGGCCTTTCTGTTCCCACCATGCCAACTATATACACTACAGATAGGGACACCCAGAACCATAAATCTTTTTTTTTTTTATCTTCTTTTCAGGAGTGAATTCACTAGCAGGGTTGGGGGTAATGCATTGCAAGTTACTTGAGTTACGTAATCAGATAACTTTTTTCAAGTAACTTTTAAAATTTACAACAATATATAATTGAGTGACTTTCAAATAACTAACGTGTTACCATGTTCTCCTATTTATTGACAAGCACTCTGACGGCTCTTCTTTCTCCATGTTAAGAGAAATCTGGAGTTATATGCTGAGGCATTGAGTGATGGTTATCGCAGACTAAATGTCAGCATGAGTTTACTCATCTCACTTTCACAAAAACAGATTCAATATCCCTCAAAAAGATTAAAACCAGTGAAACTCAGAATATTAAACACACACACACATGTATATATATATATATATATATATATTAGGGCTGGGTAATAAATATTGATTTCTCGATATTAATCGATTCTCATCGAACCGATATCGATTCTTAAATCTCAAGAATCGATTAGTCATCCTGTTTCATTTGAATGAATGGAACATTGTATCACGGCTGCGCGCATCCAAAAACTCACAATAATCTTTGTCCTTTGTTACTATTGATATGAAACAAAGTCTCAATTTTCAAATTACGTCCATTTTCTTTAGAAATTCAAAAACATAAATAATGTTTTGGCGCTGTGGCGTGAGATCGCTCTGGCGCAGCTCAAGAGAAGCAGCAGCGCTGATCTCTCTTCCGGCTTAATAATACCAGTCACAGCACGAAATAAACATGAATGAGCATCTGAAAGTGTGTTAAAAGATAGAGTAATTTATGTAGAGTAGCCTATTATTCAGTGAAAAGCAACAAAACGCAGACAACTTACAACTGGACAAATCGCTACCAATTCAAATTATTTATTCATTTATTTTTAAGTACTGTTGGTGTTTGATTATGATGCTTTGACTAGAAAAAACAGATTTTTAACCACATATTCACTCACCTAAAAGATTATTAGGAACACCATACTAATACTGAAAATCCCAGTAACTGAGCAGATTGTGAAATAGTCAGATGGTTTTTGGTGCCAGTTTGGCACAAACAACCATGCCACATTCAAAATTGCTTTAATCACATTTCTTTCCCATTCTGACATTGAGACCCCATTTACACCTGGTATTAAAATACGATCTGTATCCAGATAAGTTATCCAGATAATAAGTACCGATTCCATTTACACCTGGCCACATAAATGTGTTTTTGCAAAACGGATATAAATCCGATCTTAAACTCCCGCGTATGCAGATTTAATGGATTGCACGCCACCAAAAGCAACAGATTTGAGCTGCATTTCGTTGATCATCAGCTAATTTCCAAATCAAAGACATCAATAAAATAGTGGCAACAGCGCTGGTAAGATAATTTCGTTTCTTTACTTGAAGATGATTGTGTGTTAAGCGTCTGTGAGTTACTTTCACTTTTATTTGCGATGTTTACGCGTTGGCTCGATGAATAGACGCTCAGCTGCTCATCTGCGGTGATGCGTGTCGCAGTAGCGCCGTCATATCTGCCAATAACATGATATATAGCCTATATAACAAGCTCACTCATTTATTTTTTGCCTTTTTGGGAGGAGTAAAATATACATATGTGGTTTCAACAACCAGATTGCGTTTACACCTAGTAAAGATCCGGACACAATGCGAGCCAGACTACTGTACCTCCAGATGTGGTCAGGCAGATCCGATCGCGATCCGATCACAACGCATTTACACCTTGCATTAACATGCGTTTTTTATTATCCGGATAACTTATCTGGATACAGATCGCATTTTAATACCAGGTGTAAATGGGGTCTCAGTTTGGAGTTCAGGAGATTGTCTTGACCAGGACCACACCCCTAAATGCATTGAAGCAAACTGCCATGTGATTGGTTGATTAGATAATTGCATTGAGACATTGAACAGGTGTTCCTAATTATCCTTTAGGAGAGTGTATGTTCACACTGCTCACTGATGACATTTTTACTGGTTCAAAATGCAGCTTATATACTCAGTGACAGATTGCCCTATCTTCAATAAAACACCTATTCACAGCCTACCCCTGATAACTCGTCCCGCTCAGACGAGGTGCTGCACTTAGTTCTCATTCACTGTGTTTGGATACAGTGAAGACATTTCTGCTGCACACCACCTGCTATAGCATTAGTTTTATTGTCCATTGCCAACATAAACCAACACATACAAGAATGACTTCCCAGGCGAATTGTGGCTTTTAATGTGCACTCGCGTACAATAATATCTACTCTGCTGGGCTTAATAGATCTCAGACTGAGAGCTAACAAACAAACAAATCCAGTGCAAACTAAATCTACGTGCTTTGCACATAAATATTAAGCATTAGCTTCGCAAGGGTCGCAATGAACTTTTCAACAATTTCTTAACATAATACATCCATTGTTCAGTTTTTTTTTTGTTTTTGTTTTTTTGCGAGAGATGATTTTGACGTCAGCACTGTCGAGCTTGGAAACTTGATACTGTACAGAAGCATAGAGCAATTTCACTTTTTATTTTTTTTGCATCCCTTGTCAAAGATCTGGGCAATGGCACCTCGGGAGAGATGTTTAGGCTGAGACGAGAGTGTATTTTTGAAGGGCTTTTACACTGAGAAGGAAGATGTGTGCAATTACATGGAAATAACAGAAATGTCTGAGATTGGTCTACAGACAATTAAAGGCTCTCAGGGAGGTATAGCTCTTCTCTGAGGATGGTCATGGCAGAAGCCATTAAAGTCTGAAATTGAGCCTCTAAAATTACACTGGATCAATCACAAAAAATAATTTTTTTTTGCAGAAATTGTTTTGTTCTTTTATTATCACTATATATATATATATATATATATATTAAACATATTTTTAAAGTGTAAGTTGCAGGTTAAAATTTTCACGAAGATAATGCAATGTGCTTACTAAACATGATTCTCGTTGAGACTTGGGTCTGGGAACCACATGGTCATTTTCCCATATTTGAGGCATGGTTTACGAATGCCCGGCGCAGTTTATTGTGCGCTCAGAATGTCTGTCAAATGCGCTTGTACAAAGCTCATTGCCAATCGTTTCAATTAGAAAAATGCAAGTATTAAGTACAGTTTAACATTGAATTTTTTTTTTAAACTTGTGAAGTACAAGTGCAAACAATTGACAAAAATTGACAAAAATGACAAAATTTGTGACTAATCATCTCCAGTTTAAAAAAAAAATAATAAAATATCGGCCGATATATCGGAATATCGGATTTTAAAACCCAAAAATAGTTGTATCGGTATCGGCCTTCAAAATCCTTTATCGGTCGGGCTCTAGTTTGGAAAACGTTGAAGTAACATGCTCTATCATAAGCCATTAATTTTTGTCTAGTGTAGTGTTACTGAAGTGTTCCTTTTTAACAATATATATGTTGCCTGCTATTTATCTGTTATTATTTTATGCAGCTCTATACATAGGCTATAACAATGCACAACAAACTTGGTGGCCGTATATATATTTAATAATTGTAACCAGAAAAATCAAAAAATGTATTCCTCAAATCGTGCAGGCCTATAGTGTCTCTTGATATCAGCATGTTCAAATGTGTTTATTTTTTTACAGGGACCAGATGTCGCTGATGAGTGCTGACTTCAACATTCACAGGAGACTCTGAACATGGTAAGTGAAAAATCAGACACCTTGGAAATGACAGGTATATTATGTTTCAGGAATGAAAAAGTGTGACTCCTTTGTTGTGAATTTTTGGATTATGTTGTGTTGTAAATAAAAATAAAACAATCTAAAAGTCATTCTTTTTTAAAGGGGTGATGAACTGAGGCATCAAATTTTTTTCTTGAGCTTTTGACATCTAAGAGGTCATCATATTATAAGAATATCCTGTGAGTTTCAGAACTGAAAACGTCCTTGTTAGTTCAATAAAAGCTTGTATTGACACCAGGCTCAGCAAACGACTCGTTTTTCAAAGTGGGGAACTATAACGACAAAGAGGATAAAACACCACCCCGCAGTAGAAGATCAACGCCTACTTCAACACGGCCGGTTTAGCCCCACCCACCGATTCGTGCATTACACGCATAGCTAAATAACATAGATCTAGCGAGCAATAAACATGACGTTTGCAAAATATTGTGCAGTGCCTGGTTGTGGAATAAGACAGTGGCTGCATAAGCTTCCTCTGGAATCCAATAGGAAATTAGCATGGTTAAACTTTATTTTTAATGACGTTCCAGGTGATGAGGGTAAAACATTGTCCATCTGTTTGCTTCATTTCACTGAGGATTGTTTTGTAAACAAGACTGGATTTGCAGACCGATTAAGATTAAAGAACGGTGCTGTTCCGTCTATATTGAATCCGACAGGAATTGAGCAACACTCGGACTCCGGGTCGAACATTTATGGGCGAATCATTCCAGTTGCCATTTTACAACATTGGACGTTTTATAAACACAGACGAGTGAGCTGAAACTCATTATAATATGCAAAACTGTTATCCACTCACAGCAGTGGGCGTTTACTTCCAAGTCTTCAGTACGAGACGCCCATAAAAACCGAGCGTTTCTGAGCTAGGCTCAAAACTAGGGTAGAAAATAGCCTTTTACTTATTCATTTTGATGGTTTTTAATGCAAAAACCAATCGAACGTCATAAGTTCACCTCAGACAACAATATAATTTATAAAATTTGAGAAGCCAGTTCATGACCCCTTTACATCTCTTTCTTTGTGCAAGGCTCCTTATAATGATGTAGTGCCCCAGCACCTTATAGACCATTTCACAAGATGTAAACAACACTGGTCCAGAAGCACTTCCTGTTTCAGTTTTTTAACACTACATAGAAGCTGGGATAAAATACAACCAACAGAACATTTAAAACTGAATCAAAAAGTTAAACAAACATCTTTAAGATGTTTTCTTTACATGTAAAATAAAGAAAACAGTTACAAACTGAAACAGGAAGTGCTTCTGGACCAGTGTTGTTTACATCTTGTGAAATGGTCTATTGGGCCATTAGGGTAGGGTCTTTGTCTTTCTCAGGTGAGAAAAGCATTAATATTAATGGTTGGTTAATATTCCCCAAAACACATCAAACAATTTTTAAAAGACTTTATTGTCTTATCTGAGTGAGTCAGGAAGATTTTCACATGTTTTGGAGCAAATACTTTAGACTATGTGACACAATTTTCAAAAGTCTTGTGAAGAAATAATCAGTATGGTGTGACATTTTTTTTCACAAATCACACAAAAACGTCATTATCTCAAAACTACAAAAACACATACATACGTGCTGCTGACATATTATGGTAGCAGAGTTTGTGCTGAATACAGTGTAATAATACTTCGGCCATGAAAATGTCACAAGTAACAGAAAAAGGCACAAATGTCAGAGCATGTCAGAACATCTCCAGGACCCAGAGAACACCTCAGACCTCTAAGGGTTAATTGTAGCCTAATTATGAGCCCGATCCCGATTTAAACCCGACCATTTTTTAATACGTGGGTCGTTATTATAACTGACGTTCTCAGACGTTCTCTATTATAACCACTTTCTCCCACCCACAACATTAATGTTTTAGCTCCCGCCCGTATAAGACTTTTTTTTCTGTACCTCCAACAGAGATGTAGTAACGAACTGTAGTACTGTACTTAAGTACTAAAATGCTGTTTCTGTACTCTACTGGAGTATTGTTTTTTTCTCATACTTCTACTTTTACTTCAGTAGATATTTTTGATGAATGTAATACTTTTACTTCGATATTTTTTTAATGTTCTGCTAGTTACTCGTTACAATTATAAAAAAATTACGAATCATTCGTTGCAAGTTGGCTTTCATGCTGCCTAAATCACACGCCAGTTTTATAGGGTAATGGTATCGATTGACACACACATTGACAACTAAAGCAGGGGTTGTCCTGCGATGACATTTTTTTGGCGGCCGCCAAAGCAAATTTGTATCCTGTCAAAGCCCCTTATTTGATTGCTAGTTCAAACTTTTGACTGCTTTCTTTAATAATTACACGACACAATACTTGTACTTTTACTTTTAGTAGTTAAGTAGTGAATTTTAAAATGAACTACTTGCAATACTTAAGTACAAAAAATGTTGAATACTTTAGTACTTCACTTCAACACTTCAACTTCTACTCAAGTCACTTTTTTGACAGAGCACTTGTACTTGCACTTGTGTCAAGTCCGGGTTTATAGTACTTTATACATCTCTGACCTCCAAATACTTTCAAGTTAGCCTACATGTCGCCACCATACACATCAGCATAAATGAATCTTTCATAATATCTACACTTTGTTTTTTATAATTCAAGGATTTTCCAGCAGACATTATTCATCACTGAACAAAAAGTATGTTTTGAGCGGTGAGGGGAGTCTATCGTAAAGGCTTCTGATTGGCCACTGCTTTCCTAGAAATCAACACATATGTCTGTGATTGGCTACATCGCTCAATGCTGGCCTGTAAATCATTTCTATTTTGTTTTAGTTGTTCTTGTTGCTTTTCTGCAACAGATGAATAAAAATGTATTAGGTTTATGTTTTATTCGTAGATATTTCTAGTTTGCGGGAGTACCGCAAATTGTTTTACTCTCTCTCAACCCTTGCTACCTTTGGTAAAATGCTACCTTTGAAGAAACTCCAATAAATGTTATTTTAATGCATTTTAGGACATATTTTTTTTTTTATATTGAGCAATTTAATTTACACATGAATTGGTTGTGGTGGGTAACCTGCGATTTACACTTTAAAGGCTCAAATAGCTTAAACGTAGGCTACTTCAATGATTTTATTTGCAATTAAAAAAATTACATTGTATTTTCTGTATGTATATTGGCCGACAGCAGCAAGATCCTAAAGACTGAAGAGTGATTAAAAGTGCTTCTCGCTGACTTTATATCTGCTTTAGTCACAATAGATTAATTTTACTCATTGACAATGAATCCCCTATGTCCCGGTTATTGCTGTGTAATAATTTTCAGATGGCATATGAAATGGTGCTATCAAATTACTTAAAAGATTTAAGAGTAAAATAAGCCAAGTAACTGCTTGTGCTGAACTGACGTGGAGTTGTAACGGATTACGAGATTGTTTCAGGACAGAGATTGTCTGGCCACTTAAAGTTTAAACGGATGCGTGACAAACCAACGACTTATTGGTTTGACAGCTACTACACTTGCCGATGGATGCGACTTATTTCAGCTGTATTCTGACCTCCTCACCTTTGAATGATCATTTTCTGTGCCATACAGTGACCCGGAGGAGCACCATCGGGAGAAAGTCAGGTCTAGTGAGGTCAGAATGACAAATAGAATAAGGATCTGGCTCAAATGGAATCATATCTGAAATGACATGGCTTTGAGGAATTTTACACTCTGTGGTAAAATGGATGTCAGATAGGTGTGAAACAGACTGTAGCTGAATAGAATATAGGACAAAATGAATGTTTTTGTGATATTATTTGTAATAAATGCAATTATTTAGCATTGGCGCCTTATGTTTATATTAGAGTGATTTTACTATGGTTTGAGGCCTGGAAAAACAAAGAACACACACACATATATTAGGGGTGTAAATTGGACAGTTACTCACGATATGATATGATATTGATTCTCTCAGCCAGCGATACGATATTTGCAGATACCTCAAAAAATTCTACGATACCATTACGATTCAATGCGATTCAGGGCTATATCGATCGATTAATCGATATTAAGATACTATGTGCCAATTTATTAACTCACTATACATCCAAAAATATTACATGAAAGTTTAATTAAAGTCTTTAAAAATTGCACACCCTCTCCCAATTGGGACTTTTACAAGTTGTTTGTTAAAAAATATGATGAAAACGAATAAGAACAAAGTTATCTGTTTTGCAAATGAACTATGTCTATATAGTTGAACTAAATGAGCTATATATATATATATATATATGTGTAGTTCAACTATATATATATATATATATATATATATATGAACTAAATGAACTATATACGCGTGTGTGTATATATATATATATATATATATATATACACAGCCGATAAATACAGCATATTTGTATATGCAAAATTTGAGGTCTCAGTAACATTTTAGTCTCCTATGTGAAAAAGCAAACTTTAAACTTTTTCCCTTTAGGAATAAAATGAAACTTTCCGGTTTGCACATTTATATTTAAATCCATCATGTATAATTCCATAAATTTCCCTGTCAGTTAGAACGGAATATCAGGACACATGTTCTTTACTGCCGGAGACCTTTCTTTCGCCATTCTACAAAATGGGCTAGCAGCCCAAATTATCTGAACTTTTTTTTGTAACAGTTGAGTAAGTGTTCTCACTTACACGGAGATCTGGATTCAGCACTTTTTTTCAAATGCCAAGCATATTTTTTTCCCTCACAATTTCCTATTTGAGGAAATGGCAAGGCCCACACCAAGTATATACAACAGAAAAAAACTCTTTCCTTATCGGTTTTTGTTTTTCTGCCGTTTCGCAAACTCACTCACTTAAGAGTCCTGGAGTTTATTTGTACAGTGTTATGCCCTGTCAAGCGCTCCATGCGGTCTCCATGCGGGGACATCACACTGGAGTTAGTTAGTCTGAGCAGGCTCCCGGTGACTGAGATGAAGTTCCCATTGCTTTAACAGACCCCGGGT